CATAATTCTGTAGCTGTTTTAATACAAACAAATTTTATAATTAACTTTATTCTAGTAAGGACAAATTTTAATTACTTTTTTAAAATTACTTAACAATGCTTGATAATTAATAATTAGAGAATAATAAAAAGTACATAATAGTGTACTATGCCGTACATTTACGATTTTCCGTGGTAGAAATGAACATTCTGCAACAACAGTTTTTAACTGGTTAATGGAGCAATAGCGAAACTTTTATTGCAAAATAATTTTTTTCCATTATTCATAATTTCATTCTAGTAAAAGGAAAGAAATTTTAATTTGATTTTTAAATGAATTAACGTTACTTATTAATTAATAATTGAAAAATTACACATATAATGTATAAACTTTACCAATAAATTTTAAATTCTTTCTCAGAATCTCTCTAACAATAAATATTTTATACAATATAACTTATGAGATAGAATATATATAATATTACGAGTATAATGTAGGTATAATTATAATGCTCGCGTTTTACATATATTTTATAATATAACATTATAATAATCCGATATTCATATATAATTCTACAATAAAAAAAGCTAGATACTTTTGAATTTATTGTAACCAACAATTCTTTCTTTCGTGTTACAGATAATAACTCAAATAAATTTAATGTGAATCTTCGTGAAATCGATTTGTTGCCATTTCCCTCGTCGAAAGATTTTCCTTACTAAAAATTAGTCTAATCAACATAATTTTCAACTAGATCATTCATTTGTACCTGCTGACCTGCCTTTAAAATTACCACATTATAATGACGGCTCGATCAAATTAATGTTTAATTCATGTCGCTTAGTTGGAATTCACGTAAGCTCGTGTTACGCATCCAATTGCCGATACATCGGTTTTGTTAATCGGCAGAATTAGTCGACGGTACTCCTTTGTATGCAAGTTCGAACGGTCCAATTATTTCCACGTAACGTCGCGCTCCTGATACGCATATCCCGCGCATTGCATATCCCGTTATTGCTGATTGAATCGATCGGTTTTAATTTCGCGGTTACTGCGCCAGTACCGTAAATCAGGCCAATTGCGATGCACGTTGTCGGCAATGCCATGGCACCTTGACCCCCGTTAAATCACATGGCTTCTGATTTGACCGTTGCATTTCTTTTTTCTTTTTTTTTTTCTATGAAGCTGGTGAGCGTTATTTTATCAAAATTATTACTACTTTTGTCGTATCTCAATTGTCATTGCTACACTGAAAAAAAGGATTGGCTGCTGCA